CGCCTGGCTTCTCCCTCGAGGCCGGGTGGGGAGCCCGGAGGCGAGGGAGGGGCTGCTCGCCGCGTCCCCCACTCGGGGCCAGAACGAAACAAACAAGCAGCGTCCGATTTGCTGGAGCCTTCATGGGCCTGGACACTTTGGGAAGAGAGTGGTGGGCGGTGGGCGCCGCCGTGCCCTCCAGACGGTCCCGAGTTCCGTATTTACACTCCCTGCATGGCCTTGTGTTTCTGTTTTGTTTCCCTCCCCCTGCAGGGGCTGTCTGCGGGGTGGGGTGGGGGGTTCGCTATGTCGGATGACGATTCGAGGGCCAGCACCAGCTCCTCCTCATCTTCGTCCTCCAACCAGCAAACCGAGAAAGAAACAAACACCCCCAAGAAGAAGGAGAGTAAAGTCAGCATGAGCAAAAACTCCAAGCTCCTCTCCACCAGCGCCAAGAGGTACGCACCCCTGGCCGTCCCGGTCCCCCCACCCCAGGCTTCCCAGGGTAGCTTCTGAACCGCCTCTTGCTGCATTTTGCATTTGGTCCGCCTCCTGGTGAGGGTAGCTTAAATGCTTCTCGTGGTTTATGTGTTCTTTAAGATGAAAATGGGGCCGTGGAAGCCCTAATTATTTTTCCTATTGCCTCTTCTGTATCAGTCATTGTGCACGGGCAGCTGTCGTGGCTTGCCTGTTCCACGATCTTGCTGGAGTTTGTAAGAATCCTCATTTATGCTTCTTAGTGACCCCTAAATATTTCAGACTGTTTGTTCTAGTAAGCAGTAGCCTGTGACCCTCCTCAGGACTGTCATCCCACTTCTTAATTACTGTACCAACACTTTCCTGGACAACTCATACCGAAATGAATTGTATGACCATCTTTCCTCCTCTTCACCTGTTGCAGGGTGATCTTTTATTAATAGGGATTTTCCCACAAATTGCATAAGGGATACTCAGGTTAGTGGGAAAAAAATTTGGTAGGTGATGTTTCCTGGTAGAATTTAAAGAGATTTTTCTGATTTGGAGAGGAAATGAATGACTCAGTACGGTAAATGATTGTAAAATGGTTATCTTAGGTTATCTTGGGGATTCTTTTATTCTCTTTAACTACTTAAAGTTTGCCAAATTACTTGTAGACTCTTTTTCTTTGCTATTTGCTCCTTTCTTACACTGTAAAAATGTTATTTCATATTTTCTTTTTCCTTGAATTTAGGCAGTGGCTTTTTCTTTCCTCTCTTCCTCATTCACGTCCCTGGAGGTAGCTTCTTTTTACCTTGGTCATCCTTCAGAAACATCCACTGACCCCATGGTTCTTAAAAATAACCTATGGTAGGTAGATTCCACGGAACCTCCAGATAGTCTTTCATAAATCCTTTCTGTTTTCAGTTAGATAGTTGTTAAACTTTAAAGGGGCAAGCTGAGAAGGTAGTGAGGACTCCAAATTCCTGGCTTAGGTATGGATACCATTCTTAAAAGAATTATAAAACAAAACATAAGGCTTTAGATCTCCGTTGAGTAGTGAGCCTGGAACTTGGAGTTTGAGAGGATGTTCTGTCATTTTTTCTGGCTTGAACTTCAAAAATGTAACTTTTGGTGTCCTAACCATGGGCAGACTTAACAAATTAGCTTAAATAGTGAATGAGTGAAGTAAGTGGCAAGGTGCCTTCGAAAGATTGCTCTTTTTAAGATGGTTGGTTTGTTTGCACCTTGGCTTCCCGGAGACCTAACCATTTCTCTTTGTTAGCCCTATGTGGGTTCTCCTGGTACCTATCGTTTTCCCATACATGCTCTGAATGGTCCCCTCCTTGTAACCTCTCCTCTTGACATCCCCATTGTCACTGGACTTTTGGTCTGAACTGCCCCAACACAGGAATTTGCTTTAGGTTATTAGTAGTTTGTGTTTTTATGGATATCTGTGTACACAAATATATTTGGGGACAAAGGCACAACTTTTAAATCAGAAAGTCTGCTTTTTGTTGGCACATTACAAAGAGGGGAATTTACTCAAACACAATTTGTCCATTATGCTAAGGAAGTTCAAAACTTATTTGGAAGTGGCTGGGAAAGAGATGGTAGGTGTAGAAAACTAAAGGTGGGAAGCTATAAACAGTAATTTTACCTGTAAGTTAACATCAGGATTCCCCCCGCCCCCCTTAGCAGTGAATTTAGTGGCCTGGATGTCTTGCTGAGTGGCTGTGTTAAGGTTAATATCAAGGAAAAAGTGAGGGAAGTATATGTGGGAAAAAGGAACAGGAGAAAATTGATGTTAGTGGGGTCCTGTAGAGGGTGTTCTGTGAAATGCATTGATTTGGAAGGTAGGTGTTTCCCACAGAGTTGGAGGGGGTGCATTTACCAGGAGATGGAGTGGAAAGGAAGCTTGAATTGGCAGGCTAACAGGTTACTTGCTGCACAGTGGAAAGTGGTTTCTGAACCATGGGTAGAGGAAAGAACCCCATGGAGTTGTTCTGAACCAGAATCACTCTGGGACATGTGTATGAGTTCTCTTGCAAATCTTTGGCCAGTCCTCTGGAAATAGTACAGATGCTGGCAGCCAAGACAAGTGGATAAAGCTATCTAGTATTACTTTTTAGGTATTAAAGAAGCAGTGACCTGTTTTTTGAGTTCATGGGGAGGAAGTTTTTGCCTATGATATGTAGGTCTTAAAATAGTCAATTCTAAAAGGTGCAAAGGAATCAGGAAAACAAGGTTCCAAACTTTTAGTTTAACATGGAATAATGCATGAGTCAAAACAGCAGGGATGCAAATGTCTCAGAACTGAAATGCTCATTAGTAGCAGAATTTATCAAGAAAGAAAACTGCTAAATTTAAACACTTTTCTAAAGTTGACCAATTTGTAGGGGTCAGGAAATATCCTTCAATAGGAAAGTGTAAAGAACTGAAGTAAGTCTTCACGCATAATTTCTTACTTTTAACATAGAAGAAACAATGCCTCCCAAAACTTTTGCTAGCTTTTAATAGCTGCCCTCTTCCTACATTCAGAAACCTTTGGGAAGAGAAACGCATCCATTGTCATTCAAATTGTTAAGTGTACGCGTTTGTTCTCTTTTTTACCCCTCAGCTGGTTCAGTGAAATTTTTAAGTTGTGTCCTAGAACAGTAGGGCTTTAGTATGATAATAGGAGAGGTCATAAAAATAGGCACCGTTTAGGAGGTGGACGAAGTTTAAAGGCCCCCAAGTTTGCCGTATTAACTGATGCTCCCAGCGCCTAGGTAAGCACAAGACAAAGGCCACGGCTTGGTGTGAACTGCCTGGTGGCTTCGGCCTGAGAGTGGGGGATGGGACTCTGTGAAGTCGAGAGTTGGTGCCGAGGCCGAAAATTGGGGGTCCCAGGTGAAGGCCCAGTATGAGCCGCGGAGGGGGCGACAGAGAAGGAAGGCCTAGGCCCAAGGGCAGTGAGGGAACTTGGAAAGCTGGGCCGAGAGTCTGGGCGGCGTGCGGGCCCGGGCCGGTGCACCTG